CACCCTGAACGCAGCAGCTTCTTCGACGGCCCTGGAAGTCACCGCGCAGCGCGCGGAGCGAAGACACCCAGGGCACCCTGATGAAAGGCAAATGGTTTCTTGGTGCGCGCCCCCATTGCATCTGGACTACCGAACAGATGACCTCGGCAGGAGTTCAGACGTCGAGGTCCTGGTGCGCTTTTTCAAGCCCTCCTCTGGAAGGTCGGAGGAGGTGGGCCTGCTGCTCACTGCGCCTCGCTCCGCCCATGCCCTGAGGTCGGAAGTTCGAGGCTCGTGGTTGGAGGGTCTCTGCGGCAGTAGCGTCTTGCGCGCTTGTGCTCGGTCCCCCCCTCGCGGCCCCCGAAAAAGCCGCGCACCAAAGGCCACTCCGGCAAAGGGCCACTGCGACGTGCAGTCGACAGCAGGCCCAGGCCGGAGGACCTGTGGTGGCGCTCTGTGGCGAACGGCGCCAGCCCCCGCGCCCGACAGGACATTCTCCCCCGGTCTGCACGTGGCCAGCTCCAGCAGCCATGCTCTCAAAAAAAAATGAGACGCCTCACTGTTGCCTCCGCCGCCTCTCGCCGAGCTTCCCGTGGCAGACCCGCCGCCGTTCTGATGCCGCCAGCGTGTGCCAGCCTCCCGCTCGCTGTCGCCGGGCGTGCGCCCAGCATTTGGCGGGGGCCGTCCCCGAAAGCCCTGTGTGTGGCAGCGGCAGTGAAAAGCCAGGTCCACGACCCGGAGATCCGAAGTCACGGACACGCCTCAACATCGTAAAACGACCCTCCCAGAGGCCTGGACCTCATCTTTCTGCTGCACTTCTCGAGCCCGATCCATCCATGAGGCCGTTGTGAAAAATCTCGACGCCAGGATCCTAGGGGAGGAGGAGGAGGAGGAAGAGGAGGAAGAGGAGGAGGACTTCGACGAGCTTCTCCTGGAGCAGCTCGAAAGCGACAGACCGCCCTCGTGGGGGAACCACAAGGTACCGATACCCGATACCGCTATTCGCCGCACCTCTCCCAGGGTGCCTTCCGACCAGAATCTCGGGGCGAACCCGGCCGTGGCGACGAGGGCCTCCTGAGAGGCCCCAATCAGCGAAAACGAAGCAAGGGTAATGGTAATCCAGGTCTAATCGGGAGCGGCCAAGAGGGGGGTCCAAGAGGGGGGGTGCTCATCATGACCGGCGGGCGGCATGTGCGCGGCCCAGCGGGGGGACCAGGGACGTAATGAAATGAGAAGAGGCGCCATGACATCTGAGGACAAATCATGGCCCACGCCATGAAATCCCCCCCCCAGTCATCACCCCCCTCTTTGCCGCCCCCGGTCTAAGAACCATGAGACAACGCCGGGGCCAAGAAAGCAGCACCAGTGCTTGAGCGGCCCAGAATCGCCCGAGCCACATCTCTCGACGTCCCGCGAACCCCAGCAAGCATTAGAAGCTGAGACGCCGATGATCTGTAGCCGCCGCAGCCCCGCGGGGGACAAGTTCTTAGAACATTGTTTGGTGGGGCTATAGGCGAGCCGGGACGCTTCGCCACTGCTTGAGGCATGGCTACCCTCTCCTCCTCGGAGGGCTTATCCTCGCCCTGGCCTCGCCCGATGTTCCTCCTCCGCTGACCTCGGAGCCCTCGCCAGCGGAGAGCTCGCTCGCGGAGCTGCCGGCGGCGGCGGCCGCCGGGGCCCGCAGCCGCAGCTCGCCGCCCCGGAGCCACGCGCGCACGTCCGAGAGCAGCAGGGCCCGCGGCCGGTCTCGCGGGCCGCCGCCGGGGAGGGTGCCTGCGCGGAAGGCCCACTGAGAGCACCGCTGGTCGGCACGATGCCAGACGACCCCCTCGAGTCATGGACAAAAACCACGACGGGAGGCTTTCAGCTACACTTTCGGCGTCTGGGGGCGCCCCTGCCAGGCCTCGGGCCCGCCAAGAGACGACTCGGGATGAAAGGCCGGCCTCTGGGGATGGGTTCAGGCCTCCGGGGGTCGACGTCATGGACAAATCATGACGTCGGCGGTCTGGGATCGAAGCGGGAAAAGAAGGAACGGGTGATGCACAACAGCAGTTCCTGCTCATTCTGAACAGGACTCGCTGTCCGCGCCGCCGCGGGCGCTGTCCGTCTGAGACTGAAGGTCCCCTGCCCGGCAGCGGGCCGCTGTCGGTGTTGGACAACAGTGGTAACTGGGCATCATAGCATTTTTTCCGTACCCCCCATTCCGTCATTTCGGGCGTCCACAGCTGGGGGTGCTACCTCCTCCTCCTCCTCCTCCTCCTCCTCCTCCTCCTCCTCCTCCTCCTCCTCCTCCTCCCCCTCCTCCTCCTCCTCCTCCTCCTCCTCCTTCTCCCGCCTCCTCCTCCCTCTCCTCCTATTCCCTCTCCTCCTCCTCAAAACTGATAGCAATGATACGCCATAAGGGTGCAAAAGCCCCTCGGACGCCAGTGCTGTGAAGACTTGTTTTCGAGCGGGGCTGGCCATCGAAGGCAGTCAAGGATGAGCCAGAGAGGCACGGATGCAAGGGCAAGTACCCTGGGTTTCTCAGTACGCGTGGGAAGGTACCTCCCCGACGGGGGTCAACCTCGCCTCGTCGTCGCGCCGCGACGGGGGTCGGAGCGCCTCCGGCGCGCGGTGGCCACCCGCGACGGGGGTCGATGTGGGGCTGTCGGCGCGGGTGACGCCCACCTCCGACGCTTTTTTTCAGAAACTCGGAGTACTCTTTTGGGAAGATGACCCCTCCTCACCATCGGCTTCGACTGCGCGGGGATGGGGGGGCCGAGATCAAGAAGTACCTCAGACTTGCAGAGGCATGGCCTCTCGGAGGTCCACGCGCCTTTCTTGGATCTGCGCTGAGCCCCCCGACGCCGACCCAAAGGCATCCGCGCGGACCTCCGAAAGGCTGTGCTTGTGCAGCCTGCGTGCTTCCTCCATGCCGAGCCGAGCCTGGCCTACAAGAGGGTTGCAACCGCTCTGCGCGGCTCACGGGGGGGGCGATAGCTCCGCGGAGTGGGCTCCGCCCCCTCCGCCCAGGTCTGGATCGCCCCCTGAACTGGTACCGGGAAGAAGGGCGCCTGCACGACGGCTCAGATCTCCGAGGAGTCTCTGAGGATACGATTGTCTCAATAGTGGTCCATCGAATTCGACCTCTTGGCGTCGCATTTTCTTCGCCGCGGGCGGTTCTGCCCCGTTTCGGGCCCCGGGACCCTCACGGATCGATCCGGCTCGTGAGATCCCTCGATCCTCAATCCTCGACCCTCGACCCCCGACATTCGACTTTCGATCCTCGACCCTCGAACCTCTACCCTCGACCCTCGACCCTCGACCCTCGACCCTCGACCCTCGATCCTCGACCCTCAATCCTCGACCCTCGACTTTCGATCCTAGGCCCTCGGCCCTCGACCCTCGACCCTCGATCCTCGACCCTTTCTACCCTCGACCGTCGACCCTCGATCCTCGGTCTTCGAGAGAGTGGTGCGCAGGTCATTTGATACCAGATGTCTTGGCCGCGATCGGTAACGACCGACGGTTACTTCAAATCGGTCGCGACCGATACCGCGGATTTCGGGCAAAGTCGGTAGCGACCAGGGCCCCCACGCTAAAGCAGCAAAAGGAGCCACAACGTCGGGCGCCTGGGAGATGGCGAGGGCACAACTACGACCGTCGACGTCGACGACGACGACGACGACGACGACGACGACGACGACGACGACGACGACGACGACGACGACGACGACGACTACGACGAGGTGCTAACCCACTTCGAGCGGAAGGACCCCCAGCCTGGCACGACGGTGACGTTACGCGGCGCGCTCTGCGCAGGGCCTGCTACGCGCGTGGAGAGCTCGAAGCAGGCCTTCTCCATCGACCGCGCCTCCGCGGCGGCGGCGGCCGCGCCCGCGGCGAGGGCGCCCTCGAGCTCGAGCTCGTCCCGTCCTCGGCGTCGTCTCGTCGCTGGCCTCGTCGTTTGTCGCCTTCGTCGTGGTCGTCGTCGTCGTCTTTGCCGTTCTCGCCGTCGTCGTCGTCGTCGTCGTCGTCGTTGTCGTTGTCATTCGTCGTCGTCGTCGTCGACGGTCGTCGTCATTCGTCGTCGTGGTCGTCGTCATTCGTCGTCGTCGACGTGGTCGTCATTCGTCGTCGTCGACGTGGTCGCCGTCGTGGTCGTCGTCGTCGTGGTCGTCGTCGTCGTCTTCGTCGTCGTAGTCGTCGTCGTCGTCGTCGTCGTCGTCGTCATCATCGTCGTGGTCGTCGTCGTGGTCGCTGTGGCCGCCGTCGGCGTGGCTCCTCGTCGTGGCTGGGCGCCGAAGAGGCACCCGCCGCGCAGCACGGAGAGGGGGGGGCAGCAGACCGCCGAGGCGGGCACCTGCTCGTAGTCGACGCCGGCGACCGAGCGCGTGCGATGCCTCATAGCATTAGGTCGGGCATGTCCCCCTACAGGCGGATTATGAAGGAAAATGAGAAATAGTGAACGAATATTCAAAATTGTCAAAAAATAGTCAACAACTCGTCCCCAGACTATTGTTTGACTACGTTTGAAGATTCCTCCTGTGGGGGGACATGCCCGATTTAATCATAGCAGCGGGGCGCAGGAGGCCACACCGTAGGAACAAGGACAGGCGACACCGGCACCACCAGGGCGAGGAGGTGCGAGGAGATGCGAGGGGGGTCTCCCTGGCGGTGTGGCCCCTCCCATCTCGCTCGAGACATGCTCGGCCTCCAGCTCGAGGGGGGCATCGTGGACCTCCTCGCTGGAGGTGGCCTCCCTGGTGGTACTGGTGTCGCATCTCCCCCCTCCGACACTGGCACTGTGTGCTGATGCTTCCTGAGAGCCAAAAGAGCCACCACCACAAAAACTCGATGAGGCACCGTTCCCAAAGGCCAGAAGACCACCCCCCGAGCTGGTTGCACTCCGCTCTGGGCCCTCCGTGGGGGCCCGCCCGGCACTGGGCGCAACCAGCTCGGGGAGGGGGAGCGGTCAGCCCTCCTAGCTGGTGGAGGTGCTTCTTGCTTCTCCGGTGAATGCTGGAAGCGCACGTCCGATGCAAACATACCGTGCACAAGTCTTGCGGCAGATCGCTTCCCGAGCGGCATGGCCAGAGCGTGCGCGTGTCGCACTCGAGTGGCCGACGCACATGCAGTTCAAGTATGCTTGGGGTGGTGTCGCCCGTCGAGGGCACGAGGCGGGATACCCGGGGAGCACGGGCACACTCTGGGCCTGGCGGGTGCAGCAGGCAGGGTGCGCGAGGCGGGGCGGAGGCACTTCTCACTGCACACCTAACAGCCTCAACCTTCCGGGTGGGGAAACCTAAGCGCGCGGGCCCGAATTCTCGACGCCTGCGCTGTTCGCAGAGGCGACGTCGGCCAGCACGAGGGTTTGGGGCCCCCTCCAGGCCCCGAGACCTGCCCGAAGCCAGCGCCTCCCGTCGAGAAACCGACTACGGCGTGCGTCCCGTAACCGTGTGAATTTCACTCGATCGAGGCTTTGGCCAGCGCCCGTGATCCTCAATCAACTTTCCGAGGTCCGAGCGGACTTCTCGGATCCGTGCTGGGCCCCCCCTTCCTGGCGCGCGGGGCGGCAAGGGGCGGCGCTGGCGGCACCGCAGCAAGCGTCCAACGCCGACCCGAGGAATCCGTACGGCCTGTAGGACATTCGTTTATGGAAGTTTTGTGTCCTCCGATGGTTCCTCATTTCTGAGATGACCGCGGCGGCTGCTGAGGGGGTAGGGGGTTAGAAGTGGATGCGAAGGGTTGTAACAGCTGGCCTAACATAGCTTATAAGTAGGTTACACGTGCGCTAAATGGTTTAGGGGGTGAATAACTCCGCCAAGTGGGCGGAACCAAGTTTAGCCTAGATCGCCAACCTCGAAACCACTGTTAGGGCACCTGTAACCCAATTCTAATGTAGGTTAGGCCAGCTATAACTTAGCATCAGCTTCTAAGCCCCCCATCTTCATAACAGCCGCCGCGGTCATCTCATTTGACTTCCGACATTGCGCGTTTTGCTCACAACGTGGATCCCTGGAGGTCTGGCTGGACCCCTTCCTCAGGACCGGCTTTTCACTGAGTCGTGTTCTGACGGTCCTGCGGCCGCCAGAAGAATGTCCAATAATCTGCCGTCGTGACTTTCCCGACGCGACGGGGCGTGGGACCCGAGGCTTGAAGTCGCCCCCTGGACCTACGGTGGAGGCGAGTCCACAAGAACCCTTCCACAAGAAACCCAACCCTGAGACCCCAGGGCGTCCATGGATTTTTGGTGCGGGAACGCCACGCTTTCCATGGCAAAACCATCGAAACCCGAGAAACCCAAGGGCACCCTGGAGGCGAGCAGGGCGTTTCTTGGCATGGGTCCCCACTGTACCTTGAGGCGCGTTTTGACCCGAGTGCTGAATTGGAGGCCTGGAAATTGGCACCAACACCAACACATGGGGGTTGCCGGGTTGCCTCCACAGGGGGAAGATGATCCTCGATTTCGGTGTTGGTGCTAATCTCTCGGTCACCTTGAAGGCCAGATGATTACCGCCTGCCGATAGTGGTGCTGGTGCCAACCTCTAGGCATGCGACTGGAGCGAAGCCAGCCGCGGCGACGAGAGGCCTGCCCCGAGGCACCAACCAAAAGCCCCATCCCGAGGACGAACGGCCTCGTCCTCCCCGGTTTTCCCCTCGAGCGCCTGCTCATGCGCTCCTCCACCGTGCCCTCGTCGGGGGCTGGCCAGAAGTGCCCCCAGCACAGGGTGCCCCCAGGAGTTCCAAGGAGGCCCCCACGGCCTCCGGAGCACCCCCCTCACGAGGCCCAGAGGGCCCCCAGGGGCTCCAAGATGGAGCGAAAAGCCACACCGAAAACGTGCAATAAGGACGGGTGGCAAGGACGCAAGACCCTTGGAGGCCGAAGTTGGGATTTTTGGACGGCGGGCGACCAAACCCCAAGGGTACCCTGAGAGGCTGGCCAGTGGAAACGGCAAAGGACGGGCCGCAGAGGCAAGGACACAAGGGTGCCCTAGAAAAGGCGCGCGTCCTTTCTTTATGCGCGTTGGCTGTAGGCGCACCTCGGGCCAGGGGCACTTCTAGCATCGGCAACACGCAAGAGCGACCCTGGGTAAGAGTAGCCTGTGGTGCGCGGCTTTGCGGGGGCCACGGGGGGGCCAAGCACGAGCGCGCGAGACGCCGCTACTACCGCACCGCGTTCGGCGATCGGGGGACCCCATCGGGCCCGCACCAGAAGGTCACTCTTTGGCGAAGGGCCACCCTCACGCCCACACGACCAACACCCGACCTTGTGGACGAGCACGTAGAAGGTCGGCTTCACGCCGGACTCCTCCCAGCGCCTGCGCTTCACGGGCCCCCACCGCAGCAGCCGGCCCAGGCGCTGCTGCTCCTGCCGGCGGCTGGCGAAGTGCCCCCCCATCTGCACCATCACGGAGAGCTCGGGGAAGTCCAGGCTATCGCCAGGGGAAGCAAGAACGGCATACCCTGAAACCTTTGCGTCGCATTCTTGTCGAAACCGGCGAACTCTTGCCCTGTGTCGGGCCCCGGACCCTCACGGACCGATCCTGCTCGGAAGATGCAGCAGAACGATGGGGTCCAGGGCTCTGGTCGAGCTCTTGTTTTACGACAGGGCTGAACCTAAACGGTGTGTTTCGTTTTCGTTTTGTTTTCGTTTTCCCTCGTTTTGTCTTCAATCCGCCTTTGTCGCAAACGAAAGCGGCCCACGAACTCGCCAAAACACCGTTTAGGTCCAGCCCTGTTTTACGATTGATCTCGAGGTACCGATCGGTCGGAAGAAGTCGGTAGAAACTCGAAGTAGGAAAGAGTTGAAAGTAGATTGGGTGTCCACACGACCCCGAAAGAGGACGGAAAAGGTGAAGCCACGGGATCATTGAAGTAACCCTGCGCGGGCAAAAAATAATACCCGGGGGATGATAAAGTTCGGGGGTGTGACGGGGATAAACAAATGATTTCTCCGGGGAAGGAAAAGTTGTGACTATGATGACGATGATCATGATGATGGTGATCCTGGAAGTTCGGCACGTGTACAATCAAAATCCAATCGGTCCCCATGGGCCTGCCACACGTTCCTGACTCGGGAACGGCTGAGAAAGTGAGAACTCCATGGCACTGCCGCACGTTCGTGACTTGGGCAAACTCAGATGGTGAGAATCCCACAGCCGTGCCACACGCTGGTGATTGCGGAAGCTGATATGGTGAGACCACCATGGCCATGCTCAGCGTGTTTGATGGTGTTGCTAGTCAACATGAGATGATAGCAACTTCGATTCGCAACTTCCCCCGTGGATTATAAAGTTCGGCCTCCGCGCCCTTCTCCACAATGAAATCCTGTTGACCAGGGATAATAAAAATATGGACCCTTAAGGGGGGTGTACATTATTATCGCCCGCACCGGGTTAGGAGGGCCCTCAAAATAAATTGGCATCTGGGAGTCCAAAAATACCGACTTTCAACGACCGATGGGCACCCTGATCTCCGACGATCTCGTTTCCGTGAAACCCGCCGCCTGCCCACGAGATCCCAACCAGCATCCATGAGGCCTCTGACCCACCACCCACGCACGGTGGCGGGATAGGCCGACGGCCACTGGATAACTGCTGAGTGAGAGGAGGGGAGGGAAAAAGAGAGGAGGGACGAGGGCGAAGAAGGATCACGTCAGTCGGAGCGCCCCGGATCGGCGGCACTGGCCGAAGGCCACTACGATACCGACTTTCAACGACCGATGGGCAGCCTGATCTCCGACGATCTCGTGTCCGTGAAGCCCGCCGCCTGCCCTTGCTTGTGTCGGCCTCGAGGGGCCCCTCCGCGGGCCCCCCCCCGGGGCCTTCAAGCACGCACACGGATCGGAGAGGAAAAGACCCACCTCCCAGGAAGGGGTCGGGAGCTCTCGCGCGGGCAATATTCAGTTCCATATCCAGTGCGTCTTGGTCCTGGACTTTCTTGGAAGGGGCACTGCAAGGCCGAGGCGCACCGGATGTGGGCAAACACCGAGCCTCTATAGGGGCCATATTCATATCCACATATCCATATCCGGTGTGCCTCGGGGTTCTTGGGAAGGGAGCCCGAAGCTCCAAGCTGCACTGGATACGGACACAAGTCTTGCCCGCATCTGGGGCCCCGGATTGAAAAAAAACGCGTCGAAGGCTGCCAGGGCAACCATCAGCTTTCGGAGTTCCGAGCGGACTTCTGGGATCGGCGCTGGGCCGCGGCGCCGGAAGCACCGCCAAGCGAAAGTCCAGCGCCGACCCGAGACCTCCGCGCAGGCCGCCAGGAGTCTCTGCCTTTGCCGCTGTTCCTTCCCCGGATCGTCGAGCACGTGCGTGGCGACGAGCGTGAGGATCTTGCGCGCGCGGAAGCGCTCTAAGATGTCCTTCATCTGCGCCGCGGGCAGGGACCCGTCGACGGGCATGATGCCGAAGGTGGAGGCCACCAGGCGCGCCTGCTCGCAGCGCTCCACGACGATCAGCACCGAGTCCTCCGCGTGCAGCGCGAGCAGGTGCTCCAGGACCTCCCACTTGCCGCGCGACAGGCATACCGCCGCCGCCAGCGGCTGCTCCTTGAAGAGCCTTCGCCACGGCCCCGCGGGAGGCACCTGCACGTCCACGCACCTCTAGGCTTGTGGATGCAATGACGCTGGACACTCTAACAGTCCTATCACTGAAATAAAGATGTGCTTACAATTTACAATGTGTAAAACATGTTCTAAACATGTTTCAAACATGTTCCTTCCATATTCAAAATATGTTTGAAACATGTTTTGACATCTGGAAAGTATTTGGCAGCATGCTTCCTCTCCATTGAATCGACTCCCACCACTTTAGTTTGGAGGCACCTCCTGGGAGGCCTCCCGAGAACGATCAAGCGCTAGTACGACCGATGAGCGGGCCATCAAGCCACTGAAGAAGGCCGGATCAAGCTGGGGATCAGCCGAATGAGCCGGGACTCGACCAGACTGGGTGGGACTATGCCAAATCCGGCCAGCGTTCGGCCACGGAAAAACCCGAAGATCCGACGCCGTGATTTTTTTCAATGCGGGGTCCCCGGAAGTCTCGACCCATTCCCCAGGACCGGTTTTTCGTCCTGACTCGTTTTTTGATAGTCCTGGGGCCCGGCGAGGGCCCCTAGAGGCCGCGCGAGAGACCTCCGTCTTGATTTTTTCAATGCGTTGGATCTCTGGGTGCCAACGCCGATGCTGCATTTGAACCTCCCCCCCGCGCAGTGCACCCGAAGCACCTGACGGGCGCGAGGTACTCGGGGGCCAGGTTCGCAAAGGTCTGGCGGTACACGCAGCTGCCCAGCACCGGCCACTCCGCGCCCTCCCCCTCGGCCCCGCCGTCCCCCATGCCCTCGCGCAGCAGCGTCGCGGTGAGGCCCACCAGCCGCCGCCCCGGCCCCGACAGGGTCCGCAGCAGCTCCCCGATGCGTGGCGCGGGCACCATGCGTCGGAGGAGGCCTCCTCCTCCTCATCACCCCCCTCCTCCTCGTTCTCCCTTCTCCTCTATCCTCCTCCTCCTCCTCCTCCTCCTCCTCCTCCTCCTCCTCCTCCTCCTCCTGCGCCTCCTCCTCGTGGGCCAGTGGAGACAACGGCGGCTGTCCCGCATCCGGCCTAAAGACTCTCAGAGTCAGGCCTGGGACCCTTCCCGGGGGCCCAACCCCAAGCGTTTCTCGAGGCGGATCCGGCCGTGGCGACGAGAAGCGTCCAGGGTGCCCTCAGAGGGAACGGCACATGCGCCAGGGAGGGCCACACTTGCCCCGAGATCTGGCGCCACGGAAAAAGTGTAACATCGTAGAACAACTCACCCAGAGCCGTGGAGCCCACTAATCTGCAGCATCTGTTCCGAGCCAGGTCGATCCACATGAAGGGTCCCGGGGCCCGAAACCGGGCGACGTCGCCCGTTGTGAGCAATTAACATGTTGTTGAAGCCGTCCCAGACCCAACAAACCCGAACGAAAACGCATCGAGTATGGCAAACTCGCAGGCAGACCTTGCAGGGTGCACGACCCGCTCCTCGAGGCGGCGCTGGGCGTGGCGACGAGACGCGCTCCGGGAGGCCGAGCGCGAGCGCAAGGCCCGGGGGGGGGGGCGATCGGTGCTCTCCAGCACGAATGCGCTAGCGCCACCGTGTACTGGTCCACCGAAGCTCCTCGACACGAGGCGGAGGGCGCGATGAGGGCCGACACGGGCCGCGCGCTGTCGGTGGAGCTGAATGGGGAAGCACACACACATACACACACATTGGCCCCCCTATGGGCCAACACACGCCCTGAGGATCATCCGGCCACCCTCTCCGATCCACACACCGCCGCTTCACCGATCCCTGTCCCCACCGGCGTGGCCTGGGACCCGCTGGCCGATCTAATTACCCCCCTGAATGGGCACATAGGCTGTTCCCTTCGGGTTTCGAGGGGCGCATCTACCGCTGGTGTGGTGGGATGGTGGGGATCGGGATTGGAATGCGGATGGGGATAGGGATCGGTTGAATGATACTGACATTTCAATCGGATCGAATCGAAATGCACATCATATCGTGCTGCATCGGCACTGGATCGAAATCAGATCGGTTCGGCTGCGCTAGGATGCACAACAGCGCCACAAGCATCGGCCAACATCAGATCGGTGGAACAACGGAATCGCATCGGATCGGGCAGGCTGGAATCGATATCGAATCAGAGCGATCGCATCGAGATGGACCATGCGTCCTGAGGATCCTCGAGCCGCACCGGGGCCCTAGACCCTGATTTACTGCGTCATTTTGGAGTCGGATCGATATGTGAGGGCCCCGGGGCCCCAAACGAGGCAAACTCCCCCGTCGTGACAGAACATGCAACGCAGAGTCTGAGGAAACGACGACGACGACGACGGCGGCGAAGAGCCGGGGCCCCGAACAAGGCAGACTCCCCCGCCGTGAACAAATGCAACGCCACGATCTGAGGAGACGGCGACGACGGCAGTGGCGAAGAGCAAACTACGAGGCGGGGATTCATCCATATCCACCGCCAGGGAACCGACGTCCTGGGGAACCCACGGGCGGTGGATGTAGACATGTTGTGGTCCGCCGGGGGCCCGAGCATGCCCACATCCACCGCCTTCGAAGGGCCGCGAAGATCGATCCCCCAGGCCATAGTTAAGGATGAATCCGCGCCTGGGACAGGTCGACCCCTCCCAGGTTTCGTGGTGTTTTCACATGGGCCAACAAGGTGTGTTGGATCCAAACCTGCGATACGTGAAGCGGGCGTCCATCCTCGATAGGGGTGCGTCCTAAGAACCCCCGGGGGGGGTATCCCAGGAACTCCCCCCTTTTCTGAGCGGCTTCACTTTTCGTCGGAAGTCGTGGGCTGGGGGAGAAGCATCGCCTGCGAAAGCCCTCGTCTCGGCGAGGGCCCAAACGGTACCGATGCCGCCACTCCCCAGACCTCTCCCGGGGTGCGTTCTGACCAGAATTTCGAGGCGCGCATCCGACGGCGGCGACGAGGGCCTCCGAGGAGGGCCAAAAAGTGGAACACATGGAAAGGGTTAGAGGTATGGGTACTTCCTCCGCTGATCTTCCTCCTCCTCCTCCTTTTCCCTCCTCCCCCTCTCCCTCCCCCTCCTCCTCCTCCTCCTCCTCCTCCTCGGAGTCTCGGCGAGGGGCCCCCCTCCGGGGGATGTGGCACTCGTCGGCGAGCAGCAGCCCACACGGGGCCGCCAGCAGGCGCGCCGCGATGGCCCCGGGGGCAGCCTGCGGGCACGGCGCCCCCGCCCCGCCGGCAACGGCGCCCTCCTCGCGGAGAGAGGCATCCACGTCGTCGTCTTCGGCGCCGTCGGGGGGGAGAAGGGGGAGGAGGAGGAGGAGGAGGAGGAGGAGGAGGAGGAGGAGGAGGAGGAGCAGGAGCATGAGGAAGAGGAGGAGGAGGAGGACACAGACGCTACAATCGGAGGATCAAAGTCCGCTCAACGTTCAAAGTGAGGAGGAGGAGGAGGCGAAAGGGGAACGCGCGATACGAATTCACCCCACAAGCGTTCAGCGCCAGGGGAGGAGGAGGAGGAGGAGGAGGAGGAGGAGGAGGAGGAGGAGGAGGAGGAGGAGGAGGAGGAGGACACAGACGCTACAATCGGAGGATCAAAGTCCGCTCAACGTTCAAAGTGAGGAGGAGGAGGAGGCGAAAGGGGAACGCGCGATACGAATTCACCCCACAAGCGTTCAGCGCCAGGGGAGGAAGAGGAGGAGGAGGAGGAGGACACAGACGCTACAATCGGAGGATCAAAGTCCGCTCAACGTTCAAAGTGAGGAGGAGGAGGAGGAGGAGGAGGAGGCGGAAGGGGAACGCGCGATACGAATTCACCCCACAAGCGTTCAGCGCCAGGGGAGGAGGAGGAGGAGGAGGAGGAGGAGGAGGAGGAGGAGTAGGAGGAGGAGGAGGAGAAGGAGGAGAAGGAGGAGGAGGAGGAGGAGGAGGGGGAGGAGAAGGAGAAGTAAGAGCAGGAGGAGGATGAGGACCAGCGTAAGCCCCTGCAAGGGATCATTTCCACTGAGGGAGTACAACCAGCCCTTTGGGCGACAGTTGGTCTAAGGAGGGTCTCTTTCCTCTTCCACAACACCTCTTCCCTTCGGGGAGGGGAAACCTCCCCCTCCCGTCTCGGAGGCTTCTTTTTGTCGGCACCTGGGAGGGCCAATTTTTGACAATCCCCTCACGAGGATCGTGGCCTCCGAGGGGGGGAGGGAAATATAGGATCCCCCCTCTTTTGACCGACCGCATCCAAGATGGCCCCAAGAGGCGCTTCAGGGCTCTCACGAGGCCCCCAAGAGGGCCTCAAGAGCGCCCCAAGAAGCCCCAAGAAGACTCCAAGAGGCACCCGAGGGGCCCCCAAGAGGCCCCCAAGCGGCCTCAGAGAGCCCAAGATGACCTCCCAAAATGGCTCAGATAGCCCAAGCTGAAGATGGCTCCCAAGATGCTCCAAGGGGCCCCAAGACCGCTCCAAGACGGCTCGAGATGGCCACGGAGCCTCCCAAGCCTCCCTCACTGTTTGACTACGCGTGTCTCTTCCTCTCTCCCCCGTCAACTCTCCTGGGCATCGTTTCTGGATGGGCTGGTGGGGATACTTGTTTCGCAGCCGCAAGCGAAGGCACAGGCGGCGTCAAAGGTCGACCCGGGCTACGGGCGGAGCCTAATTACCCAGCGAGCGCCCTCACGGCTACAGAGGCTGCCGCCGAGGGGCTGGTGGGGGTACGCAGAGCGTCAAGAATTGCCCCGCTGGGGGGGAAATCGTGTGAACATATTGCAACGTGCCCAACACCACTCTCGAACTTCAACGCCACGCTTTGACCTGACTGTTATGTCTTGGCGACCCTGAATCGCGCCAGATCACCATTCACGGGACTTCAACACCGCGAAGCAACATAATTATTGCGCCCTGACAAGCCTGAATCGATTCAACATCAATGCTGGGAAGTTCGATGAAACTCGTGTAGATATCTGAAACGGATATGCGCGGCGCTGGGGCGAGAATCACGAGTGTAGAACGAATGTGCGCGGCGCTGAAACGAAAACCACATGTTCAAAACGAACCACCCTCAGTCCGTGAAACTCTTGCACATGTTTAAGACGAATGTGCGCGGCGCCGAGGCGAGAGCCACACGTTGAACACGAACCGTCCCAAATCCATGAGACTATTGCAAAGGGTTTTCAAATAAATGTGCGCTGCGCTGAGGCGAGAGCCACATTTTGAGAACGAGCAGCCACGAATCCGTGAGGCTCTTGCATCTTGCAAGTGTTTAAAAACGAATGTGCGCGGCGCTGAGACGAGAGCCACATTTTGAAAACGAGCCGCCCTCAATCCGTGAAGCTCTTGCAAGTGTTGCAACGATGTGCAACGAATGTACGAGGCGCTGAGGGAAACTGTCGTCAATTTAAAGCGTCGGGGCCATAAACGGTAAGGAAGTCTCAAGCGAAACGCCAGGTCCGCCATTTCGACCAGCCCTGGGGTGCGACAGGGCGGAATTATCGATAAGGACAAGGTCTGGAGGAGGAGGAGGAGGAGGAGGAGGAGGAGGAGGAGGAGGAGGAGGAGAAGGAGGAGGAGGAGGACGAGGAGGAGGGGAGGAGGAGCGGGAGAAGGAGGAGGAGGAGGAGGAGGAGAAGGCGGAGGAGGAGGAGGAGGAGGAGGGGGAGGAGGAGGACGAGGAGGAGGGGGAGGAGGAGCGGGAGGAGGAGGAGCAGGAGGAGGAGGAGGAGGAGGAGGAGGAGAAGCTGGGCAACGCCGTCGAGGGGCGGAAGGGGGGAGAGGGGAGCCTCCAGCCCCGAGGGCCGAGGGGCGCGTCTCGGGCGCTGCCTCACGGGGGTGGGGCGAGACCCCGGCCACCCAGGGAGGGCCACAAGACAACACCAGGACCTCGGCATCTACACTCCTGTCGAGACTTTGGGCGGTTCGTCGGCGTCGGCGTCGGCGGTCGCCGTCGGCATCGTCGTCGTCGTCCTCCAGGGTCGGCGGCACCGGCCGTGAGGCCTTCAGAATAATACCAACACCTCGGCATCTGAGCTCCCGTCGAGGTCTTGGGCGGTCCAGATGGGTCTCTAGGTCTGGAGGGAAAAGGAGGAGGAGGAACAGGAGGAGGAGGAGGAAGATAAGGAGGAGAAGGAGAAGGAGGGTGAGGCGGAGGAGGAGGGGGAGGAGGAGGGGGAGGAGAAGGAGGAGGGGGAAGAGGAGGAGGAGAAGGAGGAGGAGGACGAGGAGGAGGAGAGGAAGGGGGAGGAGGAGGGGGAGGAGGAGGAGGGAGAGGAGGAGGAGGACCATTTTTGCGGCACTCTGGAGACTCAGGCAAAGGAGAACCGGGGGGCGCCAGCTAGAAGGGCCGGGGGGCGCCAGCTTTACACCTGCACCAGTCCTGGCCAGGCGCATCCCGGGTCTGGGGCCGGCGTATACCGCCCTCCTGACGTGGGCAGGGCGGCAAAAGACACCGACCCTGGGCCCAAGATCGGCCTGCGCAGGACTGGTGCAGGCGAAAAGAGGTGATGCCCTCATAGAAAGGGGGGAGGGGTGGGCGAGAGCAGCGTGCACCTGTCGGGCAACAGGGGGGCCTCTTCGGCGTCGTCGGGGGAGGAGGAGGGAGGAGGAGGAGGAGGAGGAGGAGGAGGAGGAGGAGGAGGAGGAGGAGGAGGAGGAGGAGGAGGAGGACGCGGGGGGGAGGAGGAGGGGGAGGAGAGATGGAGGAGGGGAGGAGGAGGAGGAGGAGGAGGAGGAGGGGGAGGAGGAGGAGGAGAGGAGGAGGAGGAGGAGGAGGAGGAGGAGGAGGAGGAGGAGAAAGGAGGAGGAGGAGGAGGAGGCGGACCCTTCCTTCGCCCCCCTCAGTCACCGCGACGCGATGACGAGATCGGACCCGACGACGGCGCCGCGATGACTCCTTCTCTTTCTTCCTCGGACCCGCTGACGCGACGCCCGAGCGCACGGGCGGCCCGCCAGAGGCTGCCGGGAGCGAAGAGGAGGGGGAGGATCAGGCGGGAGGCGGCGAGCCGTTCCTGCTCTCTCGGCGCCGAGCCCAGGGGGGGAAGTTCCGGGGTCGAGGCTGTCGGCTCTCGCAGTGTTCCACCCTCGGGATGCGACTCATCTCGGCGCCGAGCCCAGGGGGGAAGTTCCGGGGTCGAGGCTCGAGGTCTTCGGACCTGGTTGTCGGCTCTCGGCAGTGTTCCACCCTCGGGATGCCGCTCATCTCGGCGCCGAGCCCAAGGGGAGAAGTTCCGGGGTCGAGGCTCGAGGTCTTCGGACCTTGTTGTCGGCTCTCGGCAGTGTTCCACCCTCGGGATGCGGCTCAACGATCAGGCAGGAGGCGGCGAGCCGTGCCTTCTTTCTCGGCGGCGAGCCCAGGGGGAAGTTCTGGGTTCGAGGTTCGAGGCCTCCTGACCTTCTCGTCGGCTCTCGGCGGTCTTCCGCCCTCGGGATGGGTCCCAACAGCCGCGCCTCGCCGAAGGCGCTCTGGGGGTGCCCAGATCGTCCCTATAAAGGCCATCGGAGAGCCGAGCTAGGACCCCCCAAAACCACCATGCGTCCGAGAGGGGGCATGCGTTCGCAAGGGGAGACGGGACTTCTCGGGAGCACTCGTGCCTTCTCGTGGAGCCGTCTGCAGCCTCGGAGAAGCCCTCGGGGCTCCTCAGAAGGCGCGAGGGCTTCTGAGGAGCCCCACCACCTGCTGCGGAGGCCGGTCCCCTCTCCACTCCTCCCTGAACTCGCCACCGATTTTAGACTTAGGTCGGGCCTGTCCCCCTACAGAGGGATTTTGGGCGAAAAATTAAGCATAGTTAAAAACAAAGATGCTCCAAAAATGCTCCAAAATAGAAGAGAAATCGCCCCCATAGTATTAGTTTTCCTATTTTTGTATACTCATCCTGTAGAGGGACAGGCCCGACTTAACTTCAGACTCCAGCAGTTGTGCTTGCATGGGAGGGGGGGAAGGGGGATGTGGCGAGGCCGGCAAAGATGCCTGGATCTCGCGCAGGCCGGCCCTGGCGCTGTTTGACAAGGCGGGCGGGGGAAGGGGCGGAGGCGGGGGGGGACCCAGACCCCCTCGAGGCATGAAACAGTCACGACGGCAGGTTTGTCACTCTTTTCGGCCTCTGGGGGTGCACCGGGCCTCGGGACCGTCAAAAAACGACTCGGGATGAAACACCGGACCCGGGGAATGGGTCCAGCCACTGAGGGTCGACGTCGTGAAAAAATCATGACGTCGGGGGTATGGGGAGGGGGGAGAGATGACAATGAACTCGGCTGGGTCTGGAGAGAAACGCCCTCTAGCCCGGGGGGAAGGGGTGCAGCGAGGATCAGCGGCGGAAGGCTCAGCGGCAGAAGGCAGACCCAAACTCCCGGTGCCATCAGTTTCCTCTATCCCGGCGCTTCCCTCGACTTCGGCCCCTGGGGCTCCCCCCCATCTCGGGCATCAGACAGGATCCCGGGCCGCAGCCGCGGATCATACCTAGAGGCTTCCTGAATGGGGTCGGAGGATCGCGCCGCATCGCCGATACATTGCCGATGCATCGGCGATGCATCGGCGATGCACCCGCGATGCCTCGTCGACGTCGGCCATGCACTGGCGACGTCGACGTGAAGCATATCGGGCCCCACATCGAGCCGCACCGGCGATGCATCGGCGATGCGGCGTGATCCTCCGACCCCGTCTACATCAAATCCCTTATTAATCGAACCCCCTATAAAACCGACCCCCCTCCAAATGCGACCTAATATTCTGGACCCCCTTCTTCGACGGGGCGCCTTAACAAACGGGATCCCTGAAGCTCCAATCCAAAGAACGCGCCCTAATACACTGGACCCCCCCAGTTACACAAAAGGCGCGTCAAAAAACCGGACCCGGGGGACGATTACTAAGGGATTTGGAATACTCCGACCCCATCTGGGAGGTCTGGAATATAGACCCGAGGACCTGGATGCGACAGGCTCGTGCCTCGGAGAGCTCGGGGGGCCTCGCCGAGGCGGCAGCGGCCCTCCCCGGCGCCTCTCGCGCCCTCTCCAAGGGAGGGCCCCCTGGGGGGGGGGGGGGCGGCTCGCCGCCTCCGGCCGGGTCCGCCTCCCCAGAGATCAAACGCCTTGAAAAAAACAAGGCGGAGGCTCTTCGCCGTTTTCGGCGTAGGGGCCCTCGCCGTGCCTCGGGACCGTCCAAAAACGACTCCGGATGAAAAACCCGTCCTGGGGAATGGGTCGAGCCTTCCAGGGACACTGTCTTGAAAAAATCACGACGTCGGATCTCTGGGTCTCGAGGAACGGGCTTCGGGGGCGGCAAAGAGGGGGGTGTCCAAGAGGGGGGGGTGCAAATCATGACCGGCGGCATGTGCGCGGCCCCGCGGGGGGGCCAGGGACGTAATGAAATAAGAAGAGGCGCCATGAAATCTGGGGAAATATCATGGCCCACGCCATGGTATCCACCCCCCCCTAGTCATCACCCCCCTCTTTTCCGCCCCCGAGGGCTTCTGGAGGGGCACCGTGTCCCGGGGATCGGTCACGAGCGGACAGCGCGGGAGAGCCGCCGCGGTCTCCGCTGGCCCTCCCCCAGGGGGTGTCGCGGCGACCCCGGCGTTTTGCGTCCCGGCAGCGCAGGTCGCCGGGCCTTGGCCGACTCTGCGCAGCTGGCGGCATTCAGCATTGAGCGTCAGCACCGCCGTCGCCGGCGCACCGACACGGCACGAAGCTACCGCATCCATATCCATATCCACAGCCCGACGGTCTGGACTTTGCTCGAGCATTGCCCTCCCACCGGCAAATTTGGGATGGAAAATCCGCCGACCCTGTCGGCGCGTGCGAAGAGCTTTTTCGTTCGCGTCGTCGTCGCCGCCATTCGTTCATCGTCGTCTGTGCCGTCCTCTTTCCCTGCGCTTTCCTTTCCCTCTCTCCTTTCCTGGGCTCTCCTCCTCAAGCGCGTCGGCCAAGGCGAAATTGAGCAATGTCGTCATAGACTCGGAAAGAAACCCCTTACCTTTGATCCCTCGACCGCCGGGATGAGGGGGGGATCCCGGGTCCTTACCCGGGCCTGGACCAGGCCGGGTCTGGACCCCGGTGGGTCCTGGGGGTCCCGGGTCATGCTTCCCCTCCGGGGGCTCCCAGGCCGTAAAAAGAGCCTCAGGACGGACCAAGAGTGCCCGAAAAGCTCCCGCAGACAGTCCACGAGGGTCCCGAATCACCGAACGATATCTGTCCAAGACGCCTGGACGGCCCCCGGACGGCCCAAGAATCCTGCAAGACGCTCAAAGAAGTGCCTCGAAAACAACAACTGTAGATTTCCCATGCGATTTTGTATGACTTCGGCGTTCTCTCCTCTCCCGCTTCCCGACGCTCCAAGACGACCCAAGCGGCCTCCCAGATCGCCCCCAGACAGTCCCGGAGGGCCCCACTAGATATCCAAAACGGCCCAAGAGAGTCCCAAGACGGCGCAGGGCCCCAGAGGCCCCCAAGCCGGCTCCAAGACGGTGCCGAGACGACGGACCAAACGGACATTTCGAGCCCTCCGCCCCGAGTGCTCCCAGTAGAAACCAAGAGGCCCCCCACAGGCCCCCAACAAGCCCCGAAGAAATCCTGAGATGCTCCCGAGAGTCCCCCGGGAAGCCCCAATAGGCTCCCAAGAGGTCCCCAAGGGATCCCTACACTGTCCCCGAGGCCCCCAAGACCGTTTCGACCAAACCCCAAGAAGCATCCCTGAGGACTCTGACCCACGTCAACGTCGTCGTCGTTGGCAGCCCAACGGTGTGTACACAGTAAAGTGGTTGCCGCGCTGCCCTTGTGTCTTGTGGTGGCGACACACCACCCCCATCCTGGTCCGAATCCATGGCGACTTCTCCGCCATCCAACTCCTCATCCTTCCTCCTCCTAATGATCCGCCCTCCTCCATCATTCCTCTTCCCCTTCCCCTGCACCGCATCCGTCCCCCTCTCCTCCTCCCTCACATTCCTTAGCTTTATGTGTACTTTCATCGTCGCTGTCGTCGTCGTCGTCGTCGTCGTCGTCGTCGTCGTCGTCGTCGTCGTCGTCGTCGTCTCCCTTCAGGGTCGGCGGCACCAGCCGAAAGGCCTTCGCCCAAAAAGTGGTCAGACAGATACTCAAAAACTGCCAAACATGATCGACGAATCGTCCTTGCACTATTTTGCTGGCTCATTTGGCATACTCCTCCGGAAGGGGGACAGGCCCGACCCGAGTCTGGACTCCCCGGCCGCGACACCCCCGTGGGCTCGGGGCGGCTCTGCGCGGATGCCCCGCGCGAGCCTCATCCCGTATGGCATCGCGCAACTACCCCTCTGGGATCGTGCCCGGGCGCCCGGGCCGCGAGGGCACGAAACCTCTGCATATACAGCGGAGGCCCGACCACAGAGACACCTTCCACCAGAAGCCCGACCCCGAGACCCCAGGGCGCCCACATGGACCTCGGCCGTGGAAGAGCGCCGCGCTCCCTACCGCCAAACCCTCGAGGCCCTCGAGAACCGGGGCGCCCTGGAGGCCGGCAGGGTGCTTCCTGGCGAGGGTCTCCACTGCACACGCTCGTCGCCCACGACCGCGGGGAGGCGGCGGAGAGGGGCAGGAGGGAGGGCAGCGCAGGAGGGGGCGACCCCCCCCCAGCGGCCTGGACACCTCCCCTGACGCTGGCGCGTCCATCCCGACCCGACATCTGACGGCCCTGGGGCCCGATGGGTGCCCCCCGAGAGGCCGAAAACGGCCAAACACGGCCCGCCGCTGTTTTGTTCGCGACGCGAGGGTAGTCCTAGGTCGGGCGTGTCCCCCTACAGGCAGAGTTTGGGCGAAAAATACGACATCGTCAGAAACAGAGGCTCAGAAATACTATACAAAAGCGTCCCCTTACTATGCCTTTGACTATTTCTGAATCTTCCTCCTTCAGAGCTGTAGAGGGACAGGCCCGACTTAAGGGTGCTCTAAGCTCCCCCCCATGAGATCCAAGCGTCGCACTGTCTTTGCGCCAGGCGGACTCGGCCTGCTTCGGGCCACTGGGCCCTCACGGGCCGATCCCGCTCGAGACGTGCCGCAGAAGGATGGGGCCGAGGGGCACCTGGACACCCGACCTCGTGACTTGTTCTCGACGTGTGGGCCCTGGTCCCCGGGACAGGTCCTCCAGTCCCGAGTGCGCTTGCCTGACGGTCCTGGGGCCGCCGCAGGCCGACAAAACCTCAGACAGCATGTCGCTCCGCGACTGTACTCACACCGAGAGGGGCGGGGGAGGGCGAGGAGGAGGAGGAGGAGGAGGAGGAGGGGGAGCAGGAAAAGGAGGGGGAGGAGGAGGAGGAGGAGGAGGAGGAGGAGGAGGAGGAGGAGGAGGAGAAGGAGGTGGAGGAGGAGGAGGGGGAGGAGAAGGAGGAGGAGGAGGAGGAGGAGGAGGAGGAGGAGGGGGAGGCGCGGCCGCATTTTCCCCGAGGCTGCACTGGGGCGCGAGATCTGCACATATAGCCGCTGCTCCCTGGCCGGGCCCAGCCCGAGCCCTGCAGTGGCGTGCACGCCACGCCCACCCGGCGTGGCCAGGAGGGCGCGTGCTCACAGCTCCTGGGCTCCGGATGGGCCTGGAGCAGCGCATAGATTTAAGTCGGTGCACAGATTTAAGTCGGGCCTGTCCCCCTACAGAGGGATTTTCGACTAAAAATAAAAAACACAAACAAATAATCAAAAAATGCTCCAAAAATAGTCTGGGAACTATGTTTTAAATATTTTGTGACCTTTTTGGAGCATTTTTGGCGTATTTTTTTTTCCGTCGAAAATCCCCCTGTAGGGGGACACGCCAGACTTGAGCATAGATGTACCCAGACCCCCGACGCCACGACTTTTGCATGACGTCGACCCCCAAAGGTCTGGACCCATTCCCCGGGACCGGCTCTTCATCCTGAGTCGTCTTTTGACTGTCCCGGGGGCCGGGAGTGGCCCCCAGAGGCTGAAAACATGGAAAAACCCCAGGTCGTAATTTTTGTCACATCGCGAGGGGGTCTGGGTATAGATCTCGTCGCCCGAAATGTGTCCGCGACGTCGGGTCTCCGGGCCGCACCCCCGCGGGAAGCGGGGAGGAGCCAGAAAGGGGGCGCCAGCAAGGGCAAGCGGGCACGGGCGGTCCGCGGCCCCCGCCGCGGGCGCCGCGGCGGCTGCGCGGCGCCTCTCCGACAGCATGCGGTGGTAGCTGACCAGGATGACCTGAGGCTCGAGGTTCGGGTTCGAGGTTCGAGGTTCGAGGCTTTCGTGCACTCTCGCAGTTTCTCAGGGCCCGAGATGTGACAAAACTGAGCTCGGCGGCGAGCCCGGGGGGAAGTGAGAAGGGGCGGACCGTCTCGGAAGGCTCGGAAGTCCTCTGGCCCTCTAAGAGGTCTCCGAGGCCTTCCCCGAAGGCATGGAAGAAGCCTCTCAAAGGCCGGAGGGCTTCTGAGAAGCCCCGCCGCCTTCTGAGAGAGTCTCCTCCTTCTTACTTCCCCCCACTCGCTTGGGACTCACGTAGACATACTAATACTATAAATATGTCCGCCTTATTGGCGTACGTCCGACCCGAACATATAATATAACCATCTGCTAGTAGATCGTTCCCCGATCGGTACGGCCGGAAAGCGCCCGCCACGGAGCTTATACTGGAAGATTTCTCGGCGCGCGCGTCGCCCCTATGGTGGGGCCACGCACACATAGTGTTAGTATGTTGGGGTGACGCTGATCGCTTGCCGCCAGGCCGAAGCTGATGCTGCGCCTATAACCTGAGGTAGCGTCCCAGGGGGCGGGCCGACGCTGGGCCGGAAGTTGCGCCAGGGCGCGCCGGGGCGCTGGAATCATATTCAATCAGTAACCCGCGGTTCTGTCGCTGTGCGTCCTCCAGTAAGAAGAAGCCAAGACGAAGATCAATGCCAGTGAGAATGCATCGAGAACCTCTGAGATCTAGCCGCTCTGGAAGATGTATCGGGCGCCGCGGCCTTCTCAGAGCGTTCCGGAACACTCCGAGAGCGTTCTGGAACGCTCTGGAACATATTCATCCTCGTCCTAGCCCCGTCCGGTCCAGTGAGGGGCACGTGTAGATTTTGCAAACTGCCCCATGGTCGAAATGGGCGGAGCCCCCTTAGCGGAGTCATCAAATCGCCCGCAACTACTCAGGGCGCAAGTAGTCCACTTCTATAGGCTAGGTTGGGCCAGATACAGCCTACCTTGGCATCCGCTTCTGACCTCCCTATCCCCTGAGCCCCCCCCCCGCGGTCATCTCGGCGTCGATGATGGGCCTGTTTTCCACCACCACCACCACCAGAAGTTGGATGGGGGAAGGAGGTGGAGAATGAGGAGTGTGAGTGAGTGAGTGAGTGAGGCGCTGCCCAAGGCGGATGTCTAAGATCCCATGAGACTGAAAGCTGGTGCGACTGTACCCTGTTGCGGCCACCGATGTGAGACAGAAGGCGGAGGGAAAGAGAGGTGGAGGGTCTGGGAATCTCTGGAACCGTCAGGGTCGAACACATTAGCCCACCCACTGTCCAAGCGGATCACCCTACCCCGAGCACTACGACGAGGAGGAGGAGGAGGTGGAGGAGGACCCCCCTCCCCCTGCCCCTCCTACTTCTGGTGGTGGCGGTGGAACGCACGCCCACCAGCCGACGCGTCTGCTTGCCGCTCCCCCTTGCCCCGGACGACCCGTGCGCCGCGCAGCGCCTCCGCGCTGCAGGCGCCGCTGGCCTCGACGGCCTCCGTGCCCCAGCAGTCCTCTCCGGGGGGCACAACAGAAAAGCTGCCGACGCCGACGCTCCACTGCAGGGGTTAAGTCGGGCATGTCCCACTACAGGCAGATGTTGCACGAAACATCCCAAACAAACACAACAAACAAACAACTCACAAACAATCCCAAAACAAATCCCATAGTACTTCAAATTCGTCCCAAGATTTTCTTATGTTTGAAGGGACAGGCCCGACTTCATACTGGGGGCCTCCCGGATGGGGTCCGAGCAGGTGGGGTGGGTCGGAAGATCGCGCCGCATCACCGACGCATCGGCGATGCACCGTTTGGCGTCGGCGGTGCATCGCCGCCTTCGGCGTGGCGAAGATCGGGCTCCGCATTGAGTTGCACATCGCCGATGCGGCGCGATCCTCCGACCCTATGTACTCTGACCCCATCTGAGAGGGCCAGATGCAGGGGGTCAAGAAGATGTCAATGCCGCTGCTCCAATCAAGGGCAACGATACCTGAGATCCTCTCGTTTTGAAACGCTGCTACCAAACTGCTGTTTGATGACTTGCTTGGCCCCTGGACCGTCGGAAAACTACAGAAGGGTTCCAGACTTCTGGGGATCCACGTCGCGAACAAATTTACGACGGTCGCCGGATGTGGGGGGGCAGCTCAGGGGGGGGAAGCATCGACCTGGAATCGGCGATACAGCGCCGATAAACGCTCACTAGCGAATCAGCACCCTCCTGGGCGGGGTGGGCCATTGGGCCCCCATCGGCGATGAATGGGCGTTTGGGGGTCGATGCATCACTCCCTGAGCTTATCCGATCCTTCCCCTGACGTTGCCGTTATTCCACGTATCTCTCCAGGGGTGCGTCCTGGCCAACAGATCTCGAAGCAAAGCCAAGCGCCCCCGCAAATCCAGGGACTCCAGGGACGCCAGCAAATCTCGACGGCCCGCCGGTGGACGCTTTCTCCACTCTGGAGGCTGTCTCCCTCCCAGACTTCGGTTGGGCATGTCCTCCTACAGGCGGGTTTTGCAGGATTTTTTCGATTGGAAGAAAAAAAGACCAAGCATGGAGGAATCAACAAAAAACGACAAATCGGCCCCAGACTATGTTTGGACCACTCTTGAATCTTCGTCCTGTGAAGAGACGGGCCCACTTCACGCCAGTGAGGGCTTTCTCCACTCTGGAGGCCGCCTCCCTCCCGGAGGCGACGTCGCGCAGGCTCTGATCGCCGCCCCCGGGACCGGTTTCTCGTCCCGCGTCGCTCTGCTGACGGCCCCGGGGGGGCCAGCTGGGGGCCCCCCTGGAGGCCGCCACCGACCTCTACTCCGCCTCCGCCGCGTGGTTGTTTTCGCAACGCTGTCCGCGCGCACAGACGAGGGGGAGGGGGAGGAGGAGGAGGAGGAGGAGGAGGAGGAGGAGGAGGAGGAGGAGGAGGAGGAGGAGGAGGAGGTGTAGGAGGAGGAGGAGGAGGAGGAGGAGGAGGAGGAGGAGGAGGAGGGGGGAGGGGGAGGGGGAGGGAGGGAGGGAGGGAGGGAGGGAGGGCAGATGGAGGGGGGAATGCTTCCTAGAGGGAGGCTGCGCCCCAGCAGGCACGGGCCTTGCATCTGCAGAGAGGGCCCGCGCCTTCCAAGAGGCAGAGTGCTTCGATGCGGAGCCTTCCCCTCTCCCCCTAATTATGCCCCCCTCTGCGCGCAGCCGACAACGAGAGGATGTCAGGGCTGCCCCAGGGCCATCCCTGAGATCCGACGCTGCAAACAAACAACAACATCGCAGGAAATCACGGCCGAACCCCCGGACCCCATCTCTCTGCGTCATGTTTCAAGCCGAATCGATATCTGTGAGGGGTCCGGGCCCCGAAATGGAGCGAAAGCGCCCGGCCCGAAAACATGGAGTCGCCAGGGTCTCAGAACTCAGAGAGCAGATCAGGAGGGAGAGCCGGCCCCGCAGGGATCGAGGCGGTCGAGGTCGTGAGGGGGCCGGCGCCTCGCCAAAAGGGGCGACGCTGGCGGCAGGGGAGGGCGTGGCGACAGAAGGGGCGGGCAACGGTGCCGGCACCGCGCGGCGGGTGGCTCATTTCCACGAGCCACGCCGCCCGGAGGATCGCTCTGCGGGGGCCTCGGCAGGCAGTGGGCCTATAGATACATCTCGGCGGCGAGCCCAGGGGAGGGAAGAGGAGGAGGAGGAGGAGGAGGAGGAGGAGGAGGCCTTCTCAGAAGGCTCGGAAGTCCGTCGGTGCTCTGTGAAGGATGTTCTAAGCCTGCCCGGGAGACACAGGGCACTCCTCAGAAGGCGCGAGAGAAGTCCCGCCGCCTTCTGAGAGGGCCTTTTCTCCTTCTCACTTCCCCCCTCGCCCGCCGCCGAACATCTGCCCCTGGCCAAAGGGCCCGAATAGAACGTTATCCACATCCACAGCCTGCCAAGGGCCTCTGAGATCAGTGCCCGCACCACGGCAGACCCCACTGGCAAACCCACTGCGCCCGAGGCGCTGTTGCCATCCCAGACACCCAGCCGCTCCGCTCAGTTCGATGCTTGGGCCCCAAGAAGGTCTGGATCACTTCCCCAGGGGCGGTGTTTCGTCCTGAGCTGGTTCGACGGTCCCGAGGCCCGGCGATGGGGCCCCGGACGCCGAACATAGCCCAAACCCGCCACTCCAATATTTGTGGGGGCAGCGGACCTCTGGGCGCGTGCCCGCGGCGCCCTCCACAAGGCGGAAGGCCGCGCGTCGGCACAGAGGGCGCGGCTACAGGCCCGATTCCTCAAGCCCTGAACCCCAAAACGTTGTCATCTCTTGGGGACGCCTCCTCGACTTGCGCCGCCTTCCGCCAGCCTTCGGGGATCTGCTGACCGGGGTCCATCCAGACCCGGGCGGGTCAGGCTTTTCCGGATCCTGCAAGGCCCTGCAGGATCCCGCAGGTGCTGCGCCCAGGCCCGGGCGAGTACGCCGCTGGCTATGCAGGATCCTGCAAGATCTGGCGCTCTCTGGCTGCCCCCCGCTTGCAGTGACCCCCGCCCCTTGCGCCCCGATGCCCTTCAGCAGGCGGAGGCGACCTCGTTTTACTGCCGCCGCCTTGCGCCGCCCTCCTCCCACAAGAAGAGGTGGCAAGGCCCTCTGGAACGCCCCCGACCTCGACCTCGACCCTCGACGACCTCGACCTCAACAACCTCGACCTCGACCTCGACCTCAACCTTGACAACCTCGACCTCGACCTCGACCTCGACGACCTCGACCTCCACCTCGACCTCGACGACCTCGACCTCGACCTCGACGACCTCGACATCGACGACCTCGACCTCGACGACCTCGACCTCGAGCTCGACCCTCGACCCTCGCCCTCCTTCGGCCCTCTACGGCAGGACCCTTCTGGAACGCCCCCTACTTGGGAGTCCCCAAACCAGGTGGTGAGGCATCAGGTGGTGGCCTGGAATCCCCCAAACGTCACCGCCGGGTTTTGGAACACGGGGTCACCGCCGGGTTTCGTGACTCCTGGGCTCACCAGCGTTCGGGACGTCCTCGAAAAACCATACACGCGTTCCCAAACCGGGTGGTGACACCAAATCGCCCGAGACTCACCGCCGGGTGTTGTCACCACCACGTTTGGGGACTGTGCCAACGGGCGGGGTCCGCCAGCTCCCGGGACCACTGCCGCATGCCCTCGCGCCGCAGGCACAGCACCACCACGCACCCCGCCGGGTGCAGCTCCTCGGATGGGGGCAACCAGGGGGGAGGGGGGAGGGGGAGAGAGAGGAGAGGGGAGGGGGGGAGGGGGAGGAGGAGGGTGAGGACAAGGAGGAGAGAGGGAGGAGGAGGAGGAGGAGGAGGAGGAGGAGGAGGAGGAGGAGGAGGAGGAGGAGGAGGAGGAGGGGGAGGAGCAGGAGGAGGAGGCGGAGGAGCAGGGGAGGGAGGCGGGACAAGGAGGAGGGGGAGGAGGAGGAGGAGGAGGAGGAGGAGGAGGAGAGGAGGAGGAGGAGGAGGAGGAGGAAGAGGAGGAGGAGGAGGAGGCGGAGGAGGCGGAGGAGGAGGAGGAGGAGGAGGAGGGGGAGGAGGCGGGAGCCGCAGCGGCGCAGCCCAAGGGTACACCGCTGGGGAGGCGAGGACGGGGCAGGCCCTCTGCGCCCCGCCCGCGGCCTCGGAGGGGAGGCGCGCCCTGAGGCTCCTCGGAGGGCCAGGGGCGGGAGGCCCTCCGAGCCCTCTGGGAGGGCTCGCCGCGTCGCTCGGGCGTCCGCTCCCCGTGCCCTGTTGCAATCTCGTGCGCCCAGTTGCCGCAAGGTGATCCAGGATGCTCCTCGAGGGTCTTCGCCTCGAAGGGGGTGCACGCCAAGAGGAGGCGGCGCCAAGAGAAAGCCCGCCCCCGCGTGAGCGACGGGAACAGACGGGTCTCACGCGAGATGGCGTGGCAACCTTGCGCCGCGGCTTACGCGGGCCGCCAGCGCGGCACGCTGCATTGGAGACGAGGGCGCTTGCGCGCGACCTCACGCGGGCAGCTTACGTTCCTATCTCGGCGAAGACGACCCCGTTATTCTTCCGACCCCGAATGTTAACTTCCCCCCTAGGAGCGCCGCCGAGCAGAGCACAAGCCGAAAACTTCTGGGCTAAAGCTGTGCGCGGTCGTCGTCTCTGCAAGACGAAGCACGGACCAAGCCAAGACAAGTCGAGGATCTCTGAGATCCAGCGCAGCTCTAGATCATGTATCGGGCACCGCGGCCGTCGCAGAGCGCTCCACAACGCTCTGAGAGCGCTCCAGAACGCTCTGGAGCGATAGATCCTGCGCATGCACCCGCCCCCAGACCCCCGACGTCATGATTTTTGTCATCACGTCGGCCGCCAGAGGTCTCGATCCTTTCCCCAGGATCGGCTTCTCATCCCGAGCCGGCTTTCGACGGCCCCGAGGCCCGGCGAGGGCCCCCCGAGGCCGCACACTACAACAAAAACCGCCCCTCGAGATCTCTGTCCTGACCCGAAGGGGTCTGGGCCAGCTCGTGGCAGCCCGGAGGTCCAAGAAGTCGCAGGCCACGGCGGAGCCCAGCTTGGTCTTGCCCGCCCCGCAGGGCAGCACGACGCTGCAGTTGGCGGGCGCCGAGCTCCTGCTGGACAGGGCCCACGATCGGTCTGTTTTGCTGGGGGGCCGCCGAGGCGGCTCTGAGATCTTGGACCTGGTGCCCAGTCCCAGACGACCCCCTCCCCTTGCCGTCGCTTGGACGTCGATTTCCTGTGCATCTTTCGGTTTCGTGCGCGTATATTTTTGCTCGATGGTCCAGGATGTTATTCGCTGGTTCTCGCCGAATACAATGCACACGTCCGAGCGATGCCAAGTCCCCTGAGATCCTGGCGGCCCAATTTTTTCGAGCCAGGCGCTTTGGCTTGATTTCGGGTCCCAGGACTTGCACAGATCGACCCGGCTCCAAAAACGACGCAGAAAACAGGGGTCGGGGTGTCGGGTCGTGCTTTTTCTGCGATGTCGCATATTGTTTGCAACTTCGGATGTCAGGGTCAGGTCATGAGAAATAATGATTGGCGGCGCGCGTAAGGGTGCAAGGCGATTCTTCCCGCTCAGAAGGCGCTGGCCTTGCATCTATAGATACGGCCCGCGCCTACAAAAAAGCAGGAGTGCCTCTAAGAGCCCGTCACCCCTACCCCTACCCCCCTCTGCGCATGGCCGGAATGACGGGGGGCCCTATTTTCAGACTCTATAGGGGCCCTTGCTGGGCCTCGGGACCGCCAACAAAAAAGACCCGGGATGAGAAACCTGTCCTGGTGAGGGGGTCCAGACCTCTGGAGGTCGACTTCCCGAACAAACGAGGGACGAGCGAGCATACCTGCCCGTCGGTCGGAGAACGTAGGCAGAAACATCAAGTGGGTGGCATGATATGGGGTGCCCGCCCGCCCCCAAAAGCGGAAGGGAGAAAGGCAACAACTCGACGATTGAAGCAGGGAGGCGCTCGAAGTACCTTGACATCTGGGAATCCACACCTGCCGACTGTCAAACGAGCGATGGATGCCCATACCCACGCCCTCCGCGGTCTGGATCGCGGAAGCGCGCCCCTGCGGATGCGAGCAGAGACGCTCTGAACCCACGGGGCCGCGGCCGAGGGGTTCGGACCGCGAGGCCGTGGATACTCGTGCGTGTCTGGGTGTCTGTGTGTCCGTGTCTGTGTCTGCGTCTGTGTCTGTGTCTGTGTGTGCGTGCGTATGCGTGCATGCATGCGTGCGTGGTGCGTGCGTGCGTGCGTGCGTGCGTGGTGCGTGCGTGCGTGCGTGCGTGCCTGCGTGCCTGCGTGCGTGAGTGGGTGGGTGGGTTGCTGGAGGGGTTGCAGGGTGGGTGCGCGCGCGTGTGTGTGTGTGTGTGCCTGTGTGTGTGCGTGCGTGCGCGCGCGCGCGTGCGTACGTGCGTGCGTGCGTGCGTGCGCGCGCGCAGGCGTGCGTGCGTGCGTGCGTGCGTGCGTGTGTGTGCGTGCGTGCGTGCGTGCGTGCGGGGGCGTGCGTGCGCGCGTGCGTGCGTACGCGCATGCGTGTGTGTGTGCGTGTGTGCGTGGGTAGGTGGGTTGGTTGGGTGGGTGGGGGGTTGTGCGTGCGTGCGTGCGTGCGCGCGTGATGCGTGCGTGCGTGCGTGCGCGCGCGTGCGTGCGTGCGTGCGTTGTGCGTGTGTGCGTGTTTGCGTGCGTGCGTGCGTGCGTGCGTGCGTGCGTGCGTGCGTGCGTGTGCGCGTGTGTGCGTGTGCATGCGCCTGTGCGCGTGCGCGTGCGTATGCGTGTGCGTGTGCGCGTGCGTGTTCGTGCGTGCGCGTGTGCGTGTGCGTGTGCGTGTGCGACTGCGCGCGGGTGCGGGTGCGTGCGTGTGCGTGTTCGTGTGCGTGTGCGTGCGGGTGCGGGTGCGTGTGCGCATGCGCGTGCGTGTGCGTGTGCGTGTGCGTGTGCGCGTGCGTGTGCGTGCGTGTGTATGTGTGTGTTCGTGTTCGCTACCACGCCGCCGCCGTGGAGCCTGCTCGCTGGTGCTGCTACCCCAGCCGCGCCGCCAAGGGAAAAGAATGTGTGTGGGTGTGCGTGTGCGTGTGCGTGTGCGTGTGCGAGTGCATGTACGTGTGCGTGTGTGCGTGTGCGTGTGTGTGTGTGTGTGTGTGCGAGTGTGTGTGTGTGTGTGTGGGAGTGCGTGTGCGTGCGTGTGAGCGTGTGCGTGTAGGTGTGCGTGAGTGTATGCGGCGTGTGCGTGTGCGTGTGCGTGTGCGTGCGTGTGCGCGTGCGCGTGCGCGTGTGTGTGTGTATCTGTGTGTGTGTGCGTGTGCGTGTGCGTGCGTGTGCGTGTGCGTGCGTGGGTGTGTGTGTGTGGTGGGTGCGTGTGCGTGTGCGTGTGCGGGCTGCGTGTGCGTGTGCGTGTGCGTGTGCGTGCGCCAGTGCGCGTGCGCGTGCGCGTGCGTGTGCGTGCGTGCATGTGGTGTGTGTGTGTGTGTGCGTCTGTGCGTGTGTGCGTGCGTGCGTGTGCGTGTGCGTGTGCGTGGGTGTGCGTGTGCGTGTGCGTGTGGGTGTGCGTGTGCGTATGCATGTGCGCGTTCGTGTGCGTCGTGGCGCTTGCGTGTGCTTCGTGGCGCTGGCGTGTGCGTGTGCGTGTGCGTGTGCGTGTGCGCGTGCGCTTGCGCG